GAAGAGCTGAACAGAAGATTTCAAAGTGTGGCTCAAGAAGACAAAGTAAAGCATTATAAAGAAACGTGCAGAGACCTGGAATTAGAAAACCAAAAGGAAAGAACGTTTCTCAACATTTCTCAAGCTAAAAAAAACTGAAGGAAAACAATCAAGCCTCGAATTGCAATATTGAAAGAGTCTATGGGCAAAATGTTGAACAATGCAGGAAGCAGCAAAAGAAGATGGAAGGAATATAGAGTCACTGTACCAAAAAGAGTTGGTTGATGTTCAGTCATTTCAGGATGTAGCACATGATCAACAATGAATGGTAATGAAAGAAAAAGTCCAAGCTGCACTGAAGAAATTGGCAAAAAAACAAAGCTCCAGGAATTGATGGAATACTCATTGGGTGTTTCAACAAATGGATGCAGTGCTGAAGGCACTTACTCATTTATACCAGGAAAATTGGAAGACAGCTACCTGGCTAACCAACTGAAAGAGATCCATATTTGTGCCATTCCAAAGGAAGGTGATCCAACAGAATGTGGAAATAATAGAACAATATCATTAATATCACACCCAAGTAAAATTTTGCTAAAGATAATTCAAAGGCAGTTACTGCTATATATTGACAGGGAACTGACAGAAATTCAAGCTGGATTCAGAAGAGGACATGGAATAAGGGATATCATTGCTGATGTTAGATGGATTTGAGCTGAAAGCAATGAATACCAGGAAGATCTACATTGGACTATGTGGATCATAACAAATTATGGATAACACTGGAAAGAATGGGAATTCCCGAACACTTAATTGTGCTCATGAGGAACCTGTACACAGACCAAGAGGCTATCATTCAAACAAAATGGGGAATATTGCATGGTTTAAAATCAGGAAGGGAGTGTGTCAGGGTTGTATCCTTTCACCATACTTATTCAATCTGTATGCTCATATAATCCAAGAAGCTGGACTGTATGAAGAAGAACATGGCATCAGGATTGGAGGAAGACTCATTAACAACCTGGCTTTCTGAAAGTGAAGAGGACTTGAAGTACTTTCTGATGATCAATGACTATAGTCTTCAGTATGGATAACACCTCAACATAAAGAAAACAAAAATCCTGACAAATGGATCAATATGCAGCATCATAATAAATGGAGAAAAGATTGAAGTTGTCAAAGATTTCCATTTACTTGGTTCCACAATCAACAGCCATGGAAGCAGCTGTCAAGAAATCAGATGTTGTATTACACTGGGCAAATCTGTTGCAAAAGACCTCTTTAAAGTGTTGAAGAGCACAGATGTCACTTTGAAGACTAAGGTGCACCTAACCTAAGGCATGGCATTTTCAATCACCTAATATACATGTGAAAGGTGGACAATGAGTAAGACTGAAGAAGAATTGGTGTATTTGAATTGTGGAGTTGGTGAAGATAATTGAAACCACCATGGACTGCCAGAAGAATGAACACATCTATCTTGGAAGAAGTGCAGCCAGAATCCTCCTTGGAAGCAAAAATGGCCAGATTTTATCCCACCTGTATTGGTCATGTGATCAGAAGGGACCATTCCCTGGAGAAGAATATTATGATTGGTAAAGTGGAAAAAGGGGAAGGCCCTCAATGAGATGGATTGATACAGTGGCTACAAAGATGGACTCAAGCATAAAGGACTTTGAGGATGGTGCAGGACCAAGCAGTGTTTTGTTCTGTTGTACATGGAGTCATTCTATAGTCGGGATTGACTTGATGGCATTTAACAACATTTTTTAGAATAAATTTCCAAAGGTTGAGTAGTTGGATCAAATTATATTTTTAAAATTTACATTGTCTTTCATAAAGATGGTATAAATTTATATTCCCCAGAATACCATATATTTGCCAACCTTACATACTGTTTTTAAGTCATTGGCAAAGATACACATCACTGTTTTCAAAAAAATTATTGTAGCATTATATATGACCTAAAATTTGGCATTTTAACCATTTTTAAGTGTACCATTCAATGGCATTAGTTCACACTGTTGTGCAACTATCACCACTATTTCTAAAACTTTTTCATCTCCCCCCAAACAGAAATTCTGTACCTTTAAGCAATAATTCCCCATTTCTCCCTCCCCCTAGCCCCTGGTCACCTCTAAACTATAGTCTCTATGAATTTTCCAATTCAATATTTGTTCTTTTGTATCCGGCCTATTTCAGTTGGCATAATGTTTTCAAGGTTCATCCATGTTGAGCATATAACAGAACTTCATTTCTCTTTATGGTTGAATAGTATTTCATAGTATGTATGTATGTACAACATTTTGTTTATCCATTCAACTGTTAAGAGACACTTGTTTCCACTTTTGACTTTTGTAAGTAACACTGCAATGATCATTGGTGTTCAAGTATCTATTTAAGTCCCTTCTTTCAATTCTTTTGTATATATAAGTAGGAGCATAATTGCTGGGTCATATAGTAACTCTGTATTCAACTTTGAGGAACTGCCAAACTGTTTTCCACAGCAGTGGTACCATTTTACATGTCTACCAGCAATGAACAAAGGTTTAAATTTCTCTACATCCTCACCAACGGTTGTCACATTTGGACTGTGACAAGCAGTCCAAGTCTTGCATATTTATTCAGATATGTCTATCAGTCCTTACCTTTACTTATTTCCTATGCTATAGTACTTAGGCCTTCCCTCCTCTAAAATAATTCACCAGTATTTTCCTCTAATTCTCTTGGATTTTTTCCCATAACTCTTTGGGTTCATTTATTTGTTTTGGTGATGGCTTAAATAAATCTCTAGTTTTAATTTTTTCCCAAGTTAATTAATTTACTCAGCCTAATTTATTGCAGAATATATCCTTTCCCCACTAAAGTGAAATGTCACCTTTATAACACAGTGAATTTTGTAGTATATTGTATATCCTTCTAGACTTTCAATTATTCCAGTAATGTGTTTCAATCTATTCTTGTGTCAACACTATACAATATTATTGCTTTGTAGTATGTTTTAAGATTTGGAAATACAGGTCTATCCCATGTTTAAAATACAAAATTCTCAGCGTTTCTCACAATATTCTACCATATGAATGTTAAAAAATTGTCAAGTGTCCCTCCCTCCCACCTACATATAACCATTAGAATTTAGTAGAATGATTTGGGTTAAGTGGGTATTTTTCTCTTTCTTTGGTCAAGCCTTTCTTATTATATTCCAACCTTTGTAATTCCTTCATTAAGGCCTGACTATTTATTAAGTTTTTTCCTAGGTATTTTACACTTTTACAAGAGTTCGTAATTATTTTTACATTAAAACTGTTCTTTGAGCTTCAACTGAAGTTCATCAAAGCTTGAAGTTTTTTGTTATTTGTTTTCCCAGCCAGGTCTTTATATGTAGGAAAACAGTCAGAAACTAAAGGCTCTTTCAAACCCAAATGAAACTCACTGTTGATTCCAATTTATAGAGACCTACATTGTGTTTCCAAGGCTATAATCTTTTCAGAAGCCTATTGTCCTTTCTTCCTTGGAGTGGCTGGTGAGTGAGAACCACCAATCTTTTGGTTAGTAGCCAAATGCCTTAGCCAGTACACCACCAGAGCTCCTTAAAGGCTTTTTGGTAGCAGCAGCCTGGATTGGCGATTAACCCCTCACGCACATTATCTCATTTAATGCTACAGTATCTTCAGGAGATAGGTGCAATTTTCATTCCCATGCGAGATTTCAGGCTCAGACAGTTTGAGGAACTTGCCAAAAATTCCCTAGCTGGGATCTCTGGTGGTGTAGTGCCTAAGGCATTTGACTGCTAACTGGCAGTTCAAACCCACCAGCCACTCCTAGGAAGGAAGACTGGGCTATCTATTTCGGTAGAGATACCGCCTGGGAAACCCAAGGAGGGGTCGCTATGAGTCCCATTAGACTCGACGACAGTAAGTTTGGTGGGGTTTTTATTTCGGTAGAGATACCGCCTGGGAAACCCAAGGAGGGGTCGCTATGAGTCCCATTAGACTTGATGGCAGTAAGTTTGGTGGGGTTTTTTTTTTTTTTTTTGGGTATCAAAGAAGGACTGGTGCATTTGAATTATGGTATAAGCAAAGAATGTTCAATATACCATGGACTGCTAGAAGAACAAACAAATATGTCTTAGAAGAAATACAG